CTGCGCACGAGGGATTCTCTTGGGAATCGAGATTATGCGCGCCAAGAGAAAAAAATTCCGATAATTGTTCCATAGGTATCGTCGTGATAAAACGAGGGGGGGTTTTTTTTTTACGTCGAAACCCGATATATTCTATATACCGGAAGTACGGACCTGTCTTATTTATGAATGGGATAATCAGCGTGCATCAAATGATAATGGTGCGCACACATGCAATATGAATTTACAAATATGCAACCTGTCGCGCAGAATAAATTAAAGGCACGGAATGAGCAGTAGATGTTGACCTCCGATCTCCTCGTATATTTAACGCGGCGGTGCTTGGCGGTCCCGCGATTTTCGTTTGCGGTCTCGGTGCCGCTGAAATAAATTGCAATTTTCGTATTAGGCAATACGGAGCCGGAGTTGGCCATGCTCGACGCTTAACGCGTTGTTAGACAGAGAAGCGAGGTCTAATTGGGGCGAAAGTTCTTTTTTATTTCGCAATACGATAAAATCAATTTCCGTCTTTCGAAATCGCCGGCGTAAACGCGAGGCGCAAAGGGTACCGTTAACGATTTCACGTTCCGCGATTATTACGACGATTGCGGCGGCAGAAAAATCGCGAATATCGGGTAAACACGCGGCTCGATTGATAGCGAGAAATATAATTGCGGGTCGGAACGAAACCCCGTGCTTGCCTCAATCCTAAATTTCTATTCGTTAAATGCGGCGTGGCCGAGTAACGATGGAAATCTCAATCTTCCTAATGATAATGGCAGGCATCTCGTCGCGCGTTTTTGCCTAACGAGACAATCAGGAACTGTCGTGATGGGCGAAAGTATGTGCTTAGAGATCCCCGTTACACTTCGGGTTCGCTTCGCGTATTCCACCGCCTTCTTCACGTGCAGTTATCGACGTACGATGGTAATTACGTAGAGTGCACGGCGCATCGCGGCGCATAAGCGGATGTGGAGAATTATCGCGAGCTCATTATCGTATCGCGAGATCCGCGGCGCAGGCCGGCTGGTTTCTCTACGGAAAACGCGGATCATTTTTTCTTCCTGGCCGCGCGACAAGTCAAGTGTCTTTGATTCAACCCAGATTTGCCCGTCGACCTTCCGTAAAGACACTCGCGTTTTAATTATTCAGCGGCGCCCTACATCGCATTATCTCACGTGGTTGTGTTAGCCCGTCGTCCTTCGCCTTATTTCAAAGACCCTAACAATCTTTTAGCGAATTCGGCTTGTTTATCTCTCAGTTCTTATATTTAACTTCGTCGTGGCGATCGTGGCGCAGAGGATTGTGCGCTGGTCTGGCAATCCGAAGACCTGGGTTCAAAACCAAACAAAACATTGTTGGTTTTTCGTTCGATCGCCACATAGACTACGTTTACACGTCACCCTTAATCGGGTTTAATAACATCTGTAGTTATAAAACTGGCCAATCACGACTATTCCTCAGAAGAATGGAATGGCTGTGATTGGTCAGCCTTTTAACTACGGATGTTATTAAACCCGATTATGGTGCCGTGCACTGAAAAAAATTTCTGTTTGAATATGGACGAATCAGATAATTCCTTTAGGATTTACCAGAATTCCTTTAGGATTTACCAGAATTCCTGTAATCCTACAGAAATGTTTACACACTGAAAAAAATTTCTGGTTGAATATGGACGAATCAGATAATTCCTTTAGGATTTACCAGAATTCCTTTAGGATTTACCAGAATTTCTGTAGGATTACAGGAATTCTGGTAAATCCTAAAGGAATTCTGGTAAATCCTAAAGGAATTATCTGATTCGTCCATATTCAACCAGAAATTTTTTTCAGTGTGTAAACATAGTCATAGAGAAGTGGATGTAGAGAGAGGTGTTATAAGAGGTTTGGGCACGTTCCTTCAAAAACGCCTTGTAACCCTAAGGGGAATCAATAAAATCTATCTACATTTTACATATTTAACTTCGTATTTAATACGTGCACTGAAAAAAAATCCGATAGATTCAACCAGTCGTCTGTTAGAAAATGGAGGAATTCCCTTTAGGATTTACCAGATTTGTAGTGAAGTCTATAGCAAACTTCTGGTTATGAAATATCTTTCGTGGTAAATCCTAAACGTATTCTTTGGCCATTTTCTAACAGAAAACTGGTTAAATCTATCAGATTTTTTTTTAGTGTACGAATTTTACCTCGCGTAACTAAAAATCGCAATTGGCTACTTTATCTATATCCAAGATTTTAAAGTAATACTAATCAATTCTCTCAATTAGTTCTGTCGATATTCAGTAACGCAAAGATAATTTTCACTTCAGAGACACTAACCGAAATGTTAAGTTGCCTAACTACAAAAAGAACGGTCAAAATTTTTCCCAGAGTAGAGTTACGAACAATCCAAATAATTCGATTACTAATTGTGGACAGTGACCCCAAAATGGGTCGCTGTCTTTTTTCCCCCCAGAGAGTAGAGCGTCGAAGACAAAAATAGGAGAGAGAGTGAGAGAGAGAGAAAGTAGAGATGGCACACGCAAACGGTTAGCTGCATGAAAAAGGAGAGCAAATCGAGCGGAAGTTAGTCGAGTCAGGCAAATAGGATTAAATTGCGGACAGAATCTAAAGCGTGATAGCTGATAAGTAACCCATTCTCGTCCGCGATACTTGCAACCGTTTTACAAAGCCGCGCTTACGATCCGCGCTCGCGGAGGCCGATTCGGTTTACGCGACCGTGCATGCTACCGATTTTTTTTGCCATTTAAGGGAGCTACTCGCGGGCTGGAAACCACGCCGCGCGCGCACCCGCCCGGAGTTCGCCGCGCGGTTTTACGATTTACGGCGCATTCACGGCTCGCAGCCGCACGTCCATTGATTCGCGGGTGAGCGACGCTTGTAAATCACCCCGTTCGCCGGTTGTAACGGTGAATTACACCTCGGACATTTTCCCGGACCCGTCCCGATCCAGATCTTAATCGCGAATGAAACACACTCGTCGCCGCTGACAGAGTGAGACGCGTACGTTCAGCTGGTCGCTCGGGTCCCCCGAGCGCTCTCCCACCTACGCAACACCGACGGAATTATAATTGAAGCTCGAAAATCACCGTCTCCCGCGACGCCCGAGACTTGGGGAACGCTCGGCTCGTCATCTCGGCCGCGGGCATTATCTTAAATTTATCGGCGGGGGTTATCGCTCGCGACGGGTCGAAAGCGTCTCGGCGACGACGGTCGAGTCACTTCGGCGAGCTCTGCCGGATTTGGAAAGTACGGGAACGCACGGGACTTCTTTATTACGGCGACGCAGCGTTGCGCGACGAGACGAGACGAGACGGGACGATGCGATGCACCGGCCACGTCGTGAATGTAGCTCAGCGGTAAGCGTGATGAAATTCGCTCAGGCGATCGTCTGCGAGAGCGTGAATAAAGCATTGTTCCTTGTATCCGCCGAGAATACTCTCGTTGCCCGGACACGTGCCAAGCCGCACAGAACGAATGATCGTATGCGCGCGTTCGTTAATTGCTGGCCGAGCCGAGTCTTCCTTCCTTCCTGCCTTCCTTCCGAGAGGGTAGAGAACTCAGACTTCTGTATACTGCTAGACTGCTACCTTCGGGCTGAGGCAAAATGTTCCGCCATGCCTTGCTAGGTATGTAAAATAAAGTAGTATGTGGGTATCGGTGTGTCGCTGACAGAACTACTACTTTATTTACCTAACGAGACACGGCGGAACTCTTGCCTCACTTTTCAGCTCGAGGGTAGCAGTCTGGTAGAGAAGCGTCCGTCCCACAAAAGGTCGGACCTGCGGCCCGACGGATTTTCCGCGAGACATCAATCGCGAGGAATCGACGGGACGGTAATTATATGGAAATCCGAGCGTATTGATCCACTCTCCTCGTACGTTATCAATATTGTTTGCCGATACGTCTGGCGGAACGACTGGCGAACGGTTGAAATGATTAAATCGGTTGGGACAGAAAGGGTGCACGTGATGAAATCATGTATTTGGGAGGAAACTGTTTTATATCGGCATAATATGATTTTTTCACTAAGTCCTCGTGAAAAAACTGGTTCGTTAACCTTGGAGTCGTCAAATATCCTTCTGGTATACCTTGTTTTCGTCTAAAAGAAAACTACCCGGGGGAAAAAAGTCATATATCCAATTTTATCTAATTGTATAAAATAATGCCAGATTTGATGAAATTTGGTCAGATTATATCCAATTGTTAATGCATCCATTTATAAATATATCAAAGCAGATGTGACGAGATGAAACGGTATAAATATCTGACTATATCTGACCACATCTGCTTTGATATACTTAGAAATGGATGCATTAAAATTTGGATATAATCAGATCAAATTTTATCAGATCTGACATTTTTGATGTAATTAAATACAATTAGACATATGGCTACGGTAAGATTAGCAGCCTACCGAAGGCGAAGATGAAGTAAAACCAAATGCTCAAGGTACCAGTTCCCCAAGGAAAACTGAAAAGTCAAGATGACGTCAGTTTGATGTCATATTAAAAATGTGACATAAATTTGGTCAATATGACATCAAATTGACATCATCGTGGCTTTTCAGTTTTCCTTGGGGAACCGAAACGTGACATAAATTTGGTCAATATGACATCAAATTGACATCATCTTGACTTTTCATTTTCCCTGGGTCGTTCTGTATCAGAACGAACTGGATAAAACAAGTTTTAAGCTTAATACACGAGGAAGAAAAAGAAGAAGAAGAAGATATCTGGCTTTTTTCCCCGGGTATTTACAAAAATTAAGCCAAATTGGAGGGCGTTTTCGGAAGACCCTAATAGCACAGTGCATTGGCTAAACATTGGCTCAACACAACCAAATATTGGGCAAATGTTTGGCCAATGCACTGTGCTACTAGGGGAATAGCCAAAACATTGTTTAACATTTTAGTTTTACGACGGAGGATCCAATGTTAACTCCATCTCGGTCAAAATGTCACAGGTCTCCTTTGTGCTCTCGCCGGTTCAATTGATATAAAAAAATCCCGAACGATGGACAGCTCGCTTTCGTCCCGGCGGGTGAGGCGAACGCAGAAAGAAATGTACGCGAAATTAGTTTAAACTTTTCCCCGTTGCGCGCGCGCACTCAATCGATCGGGATGGTCGGGACGACCGTTTCTATTTCTGCAACTGCGGTTTTCCATCCGCCAGGCGGAACCGCAATCCTGCGCTATCACGATTTTTATCGAAATAAAAATTTCACCGCGCGTTTTCACGACGGTCACGCACTCTCTCTCTTTCTCAGTAGAGATTTCTATTCTTCGCAGGTGGGAGCAACGGCGGATCTCGGCGTCCCCCTCACTTCGGCGACCTGCATGAAGGGCACCAGGTATACGAACGTTCGAGTTCAGATTACGTAGAATGAATTACAGAGCATATACAGGGTGTCCGAATTTGATTGTGCATCCCCCAATAACACCGCAGAAAATGGTCGGATGGAAAAAAGTTTCAGACAAAAGTTATTTGGTTCCGAGGGGGACATCAAATGGTGTCATTAATTGGACCTTGAATAGTCACCTTGAAGGTCACGTGAAGGCCACCTTCGATTTTTTAAATGAAACTCCCCATTGTTTATTATACTATCTTATTTTACTAATTACTATGAACAACTTTTGTCTGAATCGTTTTTTCATCCGGCCACTTTCTGCGATGTTATTGGGGGTGCACAATTAACACCCATGGGACACCCTGTATACCGAATGCATAAATTGCTTGCAATTAGTGGAATTAAATAACGTCAAATGAAATAAAAATAATTGCATCCGCGTGGGCAGATGCATTTATACGAGACGATGGCAAAGAAGTTGCGATTTCGCAAAAATAAATTTTGTCTAACAAGGTACGCAATAGTGGACCCAAGAATTTGAGCGACGATGTTCTTCACACCGCCGTAATTCATTTTACTGTTGTGCTTGAATCCGTCATTATTATTAAAATGTTGAAACTTACACGGAGTCGTACTCTCTAAATTTTTTAGAGTGAGATCTCACTCTTTTGGAGTGAGATTTAAATGCCGCCAGTCCGACCGCAGTGCAATTTCACTTTTTGAGACGAAAAACCACGGTGGCGGAATACCGTACTTTAAGCTGGAGTGAATTTTGGAGTGTTAACGACTTCACTTTAAAAATAAGAGTGAAATTCTTCACTTTTTGTCTTAGAGTAAATTGGAGTAGATTCACTCTATTGGAGCAAACTACACTCGAATAGAGTGAAGTGGTCCAGCGACACCGCGACTCGAGTGAAAATTTCGCTCCAAAAATTTTAGAGAGTACCCAGATAACATGCTTGTCTAAAAGACATCTTCAAGACTTCTTTAAAACGTCTTTAAGATATCTTTTAGACATGTATGTCTAAAAGATGTCTAAAAGACGTGTTAAAGACATCTTAAAGATGTCTTTTAGACATGCATGTTATCTGATTGTGAGTAGGGTCCGAATATTCCGTATAATAAGTTAAAAGATGGTGCAACAATTTTCTCGCCATTTCTCTGCTTTCGTCACTTTAATCGCACTGATGGCACGCAAGTTCGCGGCACGAACACAGGCGCAGGCCAATCGCAGTTAACGTTGTGATTTCCCAATTAAAGATAGGGCCTCGTAAGAATGAGGCGGACCGATCATGACGGCCACGTCGCGCGGCAGGGTCCGCCGCCCTTCCGGGTGCTGGCCGTCCCCGACAACATGTACTTGTCGCCGACGCCGCCCGCGGCGGCGCCGCCGCCCCCGCGCGCACCCGAACCTTACAAGGTCGCCCCGACGTCGACGTCCTTCGGCAGGGCGCACCGTCGTTCCAGCTTCGTGATACTCGCCGAGTCTAGGCCGGCGAGTCCGGAAGCCGGCGATGCGTCGTCCACCTTGCCGACAGGGAGAGTCTCGCCCTTCCGCGGACGTGGCTTCAAGGGCCCGCCCCCTCGCTCGATGTCGAGGCCGCAGTCGCCGGAAGTCGCCGGGGACGGACGTCGACGTAGAGTCGAACGAAGGGGTAAGCAGAGTGTGTGTCACGAAGATCCCCTTCGTTGCAATATTTCGAAGATGCCGAGAGAGAACTCGTAAGGATTCTCGACGTTGACGAGACATTTCTGACAGTTCGGACAGCTGAAATATTTACCCTGCAAAAGCTCCCAGACGCGCTCTTATATGATACTTCTACATTGGTCCACAAGACAGCTTTATTTGAAAATTACTTATCAATGTGCTTAGTGGGAATTGGTCCCAAATAAAAATTTAACTGTCCCTGGTTTTGTCTTCATACTTTAATCGTGTGGAAGAATTTTGCAATTCTACAAAGCCAAGTTCAAATTTCGTTAGAACTACGAATTGAAACCTTCAAATACCAACATCTTTTTTATTAGACTTCTGAACTGAGTGTTTTAAGTATGAAAATGTTCTGCCATGCGGCCCGCAACTTATCCTGATATTATTTTGTGCACAATTTGTGCTAATAGAAAGAATTACAAGCGCAAAAACTATATTCGACTGTGTCGGTAAAAAAGATGGCGGAAGGATCCTCGTAACGATGGCCCTTACTAAGTCACCCATTTATTTTGTGCAGTGTCGTTGTCGCAGCAGAACAGCCCCAGAAGGAGCCTGATACCGCAGCCCACTTATCGTCAGCGGTCCACCTCGTTGACGAAGGACAACGAGCGTTCGCCGTCGCCGAAGATCGGTCGCCGAGTCACGAGGACGCGGCTGAACGTCTCGGACTCGCGGGGTCGATTGAACGCGGCCGATTCCAAGTCGCAGCTGAACGGCTCGAAGACGCGTCTGAACAAGCTCGACTCCCGGGGTCGCACGAACCTGGCCGAGGCTAAGACCCGCTTCATCTCCAACTCCACCAGCAATCTCAACGGTAACTCGACGACAACGCGCCGGCAGCCGATGACGAAGGGCTCGACGCGGCTCTCGCCGATCCAGGGCACTCCGACGAAGCCGGAGAAGACTCCTCGATTGAACGTCAGAGGAAAGGACGCCGCGAGGCAATCTCCCACGAAGACAACGAGAACGTCGTCGCAGAAGAACAACGTCGCCGCTGCTACTCGAAGGGATGGTCAGAGTAAAAGTCCCAGTAAGGATCGCCTTCTTTCGCCATCGAGGATTCCTCTGAAGGCGAGCAAGGCAAACGGCTCGTCGAGCACCGGCAGGTTCATCTCGATGCCCGAGCAGAACGCCGGCAAGACGGAAAGGTTTGCGAAAGAAGACAAAAATGATAAGAACCAATCGGTCCAGAACGGCCGATCCGAGTCGAACCCGAAGGAAAACGGGACAAACGGGAACTCCTCGAGCAACGCGGACGACGTGGACCTTATAGATCTTCTCAAGCAAACCTCGCAGGCGACCGGCACGTCCAGCGAACGTCTGGTGAACACCACGACGACCACGGCGGTGCAGCCGTTGCACATCGACGCGAACACGCTTCTCGTGGAGCGCAGCGATGGATCAACGACGAATCAGCAGAAGGAACGACTCGACGGGACGCTCAGGCCCTCGGTTTCCCCCGCGGCCAAGGGCGAGTCGCCGGTGTCGACGCCGACCGTAGCGTCAACGGGGCAGAAATCCTCGCCGTTAACCGTAAATCAGCCGGTCAAGGCAGGCCAAGCGATTAATCCTGGAAACGATAAGAAAGACTCTCCCGTCGGCGCGGAGAATAGCACCGGAGGACACTCGAAAAGCGGCAGCGTCGGTCAATCCATGAAAAGCGTCAGGGTGAACGAGGAAAGTTTAGTTCAGCGTTCCGGCAACCAGTCTTCTGCCAATCAGCGTTCCGGCAGAAGTAGTCAGAATGCTCGCGGCCCGAGGACAAGCGACGGGAAGACATCGGAAGAGCCGGAAGCCGCTTCGGTGGCCTCGGCGGAGGTGAAGAGCGGCTCTGCGGGCAGCAAGACGACCGCGGGTCGCGACGCCACGGCGAACGATAAGATGCCGACGGTGATGGAGAACGACTCGAAGGTGAAAGCGGTCGGGCAGGCGGAGACGACGATGAGTAACGCGATGGCGACGAACAACGTGGCGAGGAGCAACAATAATGTGAGTCCCGCGGTTGGTGCAGTGAACGCAGGTGTGAACAGTGATGCTGTAGTACGAACGAGGAACGAGAATCGCGGCAGCGACGCGTCCTTGAAGTCGTCCACCGGCGTGTCCACCAATTCGATCGAGAGCGTGAGGTCGACGGACACGGGAGTGAGCGTCAACACGGTCAGAGGGGTGTCCTCGCCGAGGGAGAAAACGGGCGTGCACACGGTGAAGCGGCCGCAGGAGATCGAGACCCTCAGCGGCAACATCGTCCGCGTCGAGCAGAACGGGGAGCCAGCGTGAGTTTTCATTTTGTCCCGTTTAACCACGTATAGGAGAATAGAGTAAAAACGGCATTTTTTTTAACTGGAGGGTACTTTTGTAAATGAAGTGTTCTCTTAATACCTCGACGCGATTCGCGTGTAAAGATGTATACTTTGAGACGCGCGAAAATTGGCGCGTCTTATATTCTGCGCAAAAGTGCGCATTTTTGCGCGCGAATCGCATCAAAGCGAACACTTCATTTACAGAAATAGTTCTTAGTTAAAAATCCCGTTCTATTCTTGACAAACGGAGCTTTCAAAAGCTTTCAAAACAGATTATTTCTAAAAGCAAAATGATCTCGTGCCTCAAACAGAATAGAGAATGAATTTCCTACAATTCCTTAAAGTTATTCTTAAATGTTTCGTTAAAGTAACTAATTGCACGTTTAAAATGTGAATGAAAATTATTAAGTGCGTTCCCTTTATTCTATCCAGTCTTTTTTTCTTTCTCTTCTGTTCTCTTTTTCTTATTCTACTTATGGAATTCGTTTCGTTTGGACTGTAATTAAGCACGATCAATGTCAAAGAGATTGATAATACGAAGCTAAAAAATACACACCCAGTGCGTACTTGAAATAGCGTTACTTTATTATACGGTAATTATGCGTTGTCAAGCGAGGGCGTATTAAAATGCGTCGTACAAAATGTTGTACTCCATGAATCTTTCATAAAAAAAAAATCGGACAAGCGATTGTTGTACCTATAAATTTCTCCGTTTTGTAGTCGCGTGATACGTTGATTGGAGTTTACATACGTGAGTTCATCTGCTAATTCGTCTTGTTTTCGTCCGTGCAATCGATAAAAAAAATTAAAGCTATTTGTTCCCCGCGGGAACGTGATCCGGATTGCGCTTTGTGCAGTCCTGATAGACCAGAAGATGAAATTTTTCGCGAGTCGAACGGCACACGGCAACGAGGCATCGTTCTCAATTAAAATGAATGAAATCTCACGTGACGCGATTGTTTTGCGTCGAAAAGAATAGCGACCGGAATCCTTATCGCCCTCTCGTAACTCCACAATTCTCACGTTCAACCGTTCTGATTCGCCACTCAATTTTACGCCAGACATTCGCGCGAGCCGCTTAAATCCAAAACTTCGTAAAGAAGTACAAGAACACTCCTTCCTGAGATAAGTGTGTAAGATATTTTTGAACTTGGGGCCCCAAGCTCAGGCTCGAACTGTAAGTGTTACGGGTACAGAACTATGGCTTATTTATCCACTCGGATTGGATGATTACCAGGTTCAGTTTTCAAATTACGCTCACTTTTATTCGCCTCGCGGTTGCTCAAACGAAATTTCTTTCGATATAAATCTGAGATTGTTTTAAAGTCGCGTATTTTATCGCGCCGTAATAACAACCTAACAACTAGGTCTTTCTCTCTCTCTTGTCGTATTACGTACAGTTTTGAACAGAAGCGCATAGAGTGCCTTTATTAAGCTACGCCAAGTCCAACTGTATTTAACGTTCGCGAATTAACGCGATAAATCTTCGAGATATCTCATCGCACTTTTCGAGAGTACGAGAATACGACGAGAACTTGCGGATCGTGGAATCGGCTACTTGGGCTGGACGGTTGCTATAATCCTGCACAAGAATTTATCACCCTTTAGTATGCAAGAGCCGGCTGGGTTCGTTTGTTGCAATTTACCGGCTCTCGCTTTGGCCAAGTCTTATTATAGCGGCCGTGTATCGAATTTCTGACGAATGTATACACGGTAAGATCGCGTCATTCGCCGTGCTGTGTAGTATTGCAGTAATTTCGCGGGTATCTCAAAGCAAATCGCAGGACTCTGTGTTGCGTTACTGCGCAGTTATTTATTCATCATTCCACGACGCTTCCAGGCTCGCCTCCAGTCTAGCACTGCTCAAGACGAACTCGTCGCTGAACCTAATTGCGATCGCGTGATTTAGGTGGTTCTGAACGACTTCTGACGGGGAATAATTAATTTTGCGGCTGCTCCGTCGGTTGATTCGTATTCATATGTGACCGCGAACGCGTTTCGCACGTCGTCGCGCGAACAATCAATCTTTTTGTCTCTCTTCAGAAAGCTGGGAACCAAGTAGACCGCGCTGGAATACGTAAAGCCGGCAGTTTCTACGGTAATCTCGATTATTAACGACGTTAAAATTAGTACAAAATACGGGAAAACTCGTGTTAAAAATTAGATGGACCCCTCCTTCTAAACCATGAAATTGTTGAGTTAATATAATAATTCTAAGCGCTTTCTGCCTTCGTGCTACTTTTGTAAATATTGTTTACATACTGTAGCGATTTCTCTCTCTCTCTCTCTCTCTCTCTCTCTCTCTCTCTCTCTCTCTCTCTCTCTCTCTCTCTCTCGATTGTGAGTTAGCCCAAGTTACTCACTCGAATGACAGAATTTCTCAAATGGTGAAAAATCTCCCGATTCTCCTTTTTACCCTCCCTCGGGACTTTCTACGTGCTTAGATCTGTATCATTCTTGCCCTATCGCGTAAATAGCGCAAATCTGGATCCAATGCTATTACACTTGAATGTATCATAAAATAGGATCGATACAGCGCCAACCATATTTATTACAGAGAAAGGAATATTTTAATCTTAAATGAAAAATTCTAAAGTTCTGAATAAAATGACAGTATGTATCGTCTTTTGCCAACTTCGTGCGTTCTGAGATGGAGGGAAAATTTATTCTAAACGCAAGAATATATATAAACTGGTATTTAGATAAGTTACTCTTGTCTCGATATAGCGAGTCAATCTTTTTTAATTCGGCAGAGGAGAATAAGAATTGTTGATTTTTGATATTGCCTTATTTTTATACTAAATGTGGTTGCGAGAAATATACACCCATAGAAAAAATTTCCGGATCCAATGCTATTACACTTGAATGTATCATAACATAGGATCGATACAGCGCCAATCATATTTATTATAGAAAAAGGAATATTTCAATCTTAAATGAAAAATTGTAAAATCTAGAATAAAATGATAGTATGTATCATTTGCCAACTTCGTGCGTTGTAAGATGGAGGGAAAATTTATTCTGGACGCAAAAATATATAAACTTACATTTATATAAGTTACTCTTGTCTCGATATAGTAAGTCAATCTTTTTTAATTCGACAGAGGAGAATAAGAATTGCTGATTTTTGATATTGCTTAATTTTTATAAATATAAATGCGTCAATATTTTTTGGTATTTTTCAGTAACAGAAATCCTTTCTCAGGGTGTAATAACAAACGGAAATATCCGGTGAAATTGTATACCCGATGAAAAATGTGATCGGTTTTTCGATCAGATTTCATCGGATGTGTCCATAATTTAATCGGAAAACGTAATCGGAGAAAAATCACCGTTTAATCGGCTTATCCGATGAAAATGTCTCTCAGTGTGGAGAACTACTTTCTACCCGACAACTAGAGGATGATTCAAGAGATTGTTCGCAGACGTTAGGACGACGTGATTTTATTATCACGGAATACGAGCGACGCCTGCGAAAAGACGTACGCGTTTCCGCGGAAAGTTTTTCGCTTCGCCAGCCAAGACACGAACAGGCCGAGGAAGTTCCCGTCCTATCTACAGTCGCGCAAGATTCAAGAGTTCCTTCACCCCGACTAGTTATAAACCTCCACCTTCGGCCGAAGCGGCCGAGGTGTGTCTATCGATCGTGCTGGGATTTACATCGACGAGCCACCGTGGGCTAGCTCAAGGGGATAATAAATTAGAATCCCCGAACCATCCTTCTTCGCCGTCATAATGGCCGCCGGTCTGGGACAGGGTGCTCTAATAAAAATACCTTCGACGTCCGTCCACCCTTTCCGTCGACGCTCTCCTCGGAGTGCC